ATGTGCACATTTAGTACCAGGATATAGTCTAAAAATAACACCATACAGTAAAACGTTAAAAATAAAAATACTTCATAAATACTGACTCTGGAGTAAATCATTGCTAAAAACATACTTATGATAAAACAAGCCAGTTGGGTGTGCCTATTAAAAAAAACAACAACAACAAATGATAATAATAACAAATAAAAAATAACAACACACACTATGATTTTTTTTTCAGAAATTATTTTTATATTATCTTTAATACTTTATATTTTAGCAATATTTTTATCATTATAGTAGCTGCTGATTTTAATTTATATTATTACTATTTTTACGAGTAAGTCAGTTTCAGATGAAAAATAATAGTTATAAAAATTATAATAAAATAAACTTGCATTAATTTTACCTTAATATTAAAATGAGTTTTCTAAACAAAATATTGAAGAAGCAATACTCCAACCAAAGTTTTGTGTAAAAGTTGATTCCTACTTATGTTATTATTTACCTTAGATACTTGAAGGGATTTGAGAGGAAATCAAATTGGAGAATGATGAGAAAATGTGGAGTCCTGAATTGTGTTTTAAATCTTCAATAAAAAGTACTGTCAGTCATTTTATTGGCTTCTATCAACAGTAGGCAAAAGATCAGAAAAAAGTGTCACAACTAAACCTGAGCATGCTGCCTGACAATGAAAGCACTTACCTTTGGCACACTTTTCTTTCCTCATTTATCTCCTTCTATAAGTACCCAACATTTGAGCAGTTTCCTGGCCTTACTGCAGTTTCTATAGTATGGCCTCACTCTCCTCCACCCTTGTTAAAAGCTGTGATATATTGTTCCCAGCATCCTCTCCTCTAATCAAAAATTACTGTTCTGTGCCCAAGGTTCTTCCCCGTTCAGTGTTACAGGAGAAGGTGTGACTTTTTGATAAGAGAGTGATTTATTACTTCTCCAAGAATATTTGCATTTTAATAAAAAAAAACCTAAATGAGTGTAACTAATAGTGAGACTGAAGACACAGAGGCAAAACCAGGGAGAGGAGTGATTTTCAGTACTTTACAAACCATGTCTTCTACATTATTATTTATTTCCTACATTGTTGAAGACAGTAAAAAATCAGGGAAAAATTCATTTTATGGTGAAGTGCTCAATGTACAAAGAACTGACAAGCCATAAACTGCTTCTGGAGAGTAAAACATAAACTGAGAGGAAAAAATGGATAAAGAAAATAGATTGTTATTTATACAATAGCAAAATATTTAAAATCATAAATTCTATTTTGTTTTGCAATAGTGCTTTTGTTCCTTTGTGGGTGGATTTGGTTTCAGAGAATAGAGATCATAGAAATATACAGAGATTGGATTATAGTGTATCTCCACAATTTCTAGGAGACAAAAAAAAAAAAAAAAAAAAAAAACACAACCAAAGATCTAAAAGTTGTGGGGAAAGGTATTCTGATGTTTTTAAAAATTTGCCTATACTTGATTCTACTTGCTTGATTTTTATCCTCTTGTAGATTTTGTGATATCAGAACATATTTGAGGAAACAAAGTCTTGTTGAAAGTAAGAAAAGAAGAGGTGATGAAATAACTTCTCAGAATATATAGTATAAACATGACAAAATTCACCAAAATCAAAGATTTTCCACAAGAAATTATACTTCACTTTGGAATACATTAAGTATGCATTTTAAAGTGCATTGTTTTGCTTAAAATAGATTTTGCTTAGTATGTTAGAAAACTCAGAATAGCAATAGAAAAAAAAAGAGGAAGAGGGAGCAGAAGAGACAGTTAAAATTTGTAAATGGTTAGTCCACAAAATGGATGATTCACACATGAGTAATTAAGAATTAACTATGACTGTATTTCAGAAATTCTAATATATTATCTCCTAACAAGGTGATATTCTGGGTACACAATAGCAGAAAAGCAAAATCAACTTGAAATGAATAATGCATTTTTCCCATGTTAAGGAGGTATATATATCAAGAAATGAAGAACAGGAAGTTTTGCAAACATTAGTAAAAAAAAAATTAAGGTAGGCATTTTCTGGTTAAACTTTATATCATACAAGTTTGGGCTATGAATTTCCTCTCTGTTCTTTCTACATAATAATTGATTATATTATATGCTGATAATCGTAATATAATTTTAAATGCACTTGACTTAAAAATAGGTGCTGTTCTTTCCAAACCATTTGCATATACATTTATTATGATAAATGTGAAAGGCACACCTTTAGATATTCAAGTTATTATGATTGAAAAAAAATAACCTTGAAATATATAATGTATGCTCACAATAATATAGTAGGCATCTTCAATAGGTGATATATGTGCAAATTCAAACAACTCATCTGTTGTTATATCCTGTATTGGAATCAATTTCTTAAAACTTATATGCTAATATCAAACTTTGTTTATGAAAATTAAATGTGTTTTGCCTACATTGAACATTATCAAGAAATTCATGGCTAGCGGGAGTTTTTAATTTTTCATCACTATTTATAATTTTAAGAGACTCGTAGTGGCCCTTTTGTCTCTTTTCCAAATTTCTATTTGCAATAGAATACAATTACATCCAAAATTTTGACTTTTACATAGTTTTTCTTCATATCCTCAATACTATCTATAAATAAAAACACAGGTTGTTCCTTTTATCTTAATTTAAATCTATGATTGAATGAGTCAAAGTTTGATATGTACTTAGAAGTGTGGAATTAAAGTTATCACACTTACCTACTGTCTGTATTGGATGTAGTCAATGCTACTGTTTATCACTATTTGTTTATTCTGACACCTTGGCCCTTATAAGACAACAAGTGTGATAAAATTTTATGACTTGACTGTTTCTCCTACTTCTTATTTTTTCCCATGTGAAATATATATAAAAGCATTCATTAATAAAATAATTTGTGAAGAATAAGCATGAATAGCTTATTTAGGAGGCAATGTCTTTTAAAAGTCTTTGGGGAAAAATGTATATTACAAATTATTAGAATTTTGCCCATTTCCAATTATGCCTCTTTATTTTTCACTTAAAAATATTATGACTGCTATGACAAATGTTTTAAAAAGCTGTAACTTTTCCGGGAGTGGCTGGGTGGCACAGTTAAGTGTTCAACTCTGGGTTTCAGCTCAGGTTGTGATCTGGGGGAGTGTAAGATCACGATCCATGTCAGGTTCTGTGCTCAGGACAGAGTCTGCTTAAGACTCTCTCTCCCTTTCTCTCTGCTTCCTGGACTCTTCTCTCTTTCTCTCTCTCAAATAAATAAATAAACCTATCTTAAAAAAAATAAAAACCTATAACTTTCCCTATTTTTTTTCTTTTCTTTTTCTTTTTCTTTTCTTTAATGGATTCATTGCTATACCACATTTGAGAAAAGGAAATGAATCAAGAATGCTATATAAGGGATCCCTGGGTGGCGCAGCGGTTTGGCGCCTGCCTTTGGCCCAGGGCGCGATCCTGGAGACCCGGGATCGAATCCCACGTCGGGCTCCCGGTGCGTGGAGCCTGCTTCTCCCTCTGCCTGTGTCTCTGCCTCTCTCTCTCTCTCTCTGTGTGTGACTATCATAAATAAATAAATTAAAAAAAAAGTTTTAAAAAAAGAATGCTATATAAAATGGGAGATGTATAAATATTACACAGAACTAACAGAAAACAAGTTGCAAAAATGTATAGTGGCTAACATTTTAAGGAGGAGAAAAACGAAATAACAGATATGAACATCTAAAAATGTATCAGAATGAAGACCAAGTACGTGGTTATTATTCTATCACTAATTAATTTTTTCCAGTTGCTCAAATTTACTGAATAGTTAATATTCTGAGATCATTACACTTGGTACAATGTAGGTTAGCAATAAAGGCATCAAAACAAATAAACTGAAGTCTTGCTATCTATGAATAATATACACATGTGGAAAATTAAAAGGTGGTGATAGTTTCTACAAAACCACAGCCAACAAGTAGAGGATGTTTTTAACGAAATTATTAGCTAAAATACACACATTGGTTTGCATGAGAGCTTTTAACAAAGTGTGTGTGATTTGTGCCTTGTATGAAATGGTGGGATATAATTTATTCAATACCAATTTCACAAATGGCATAGACTTATATATGAATCAAGGAAATTTAATCAATACATCGGGAACAGGAATTATGGGATTAATCTATCAAGGATAGGAATGAAGAAGAACATGAACAAAGAATAAAAGCATGGGTTATTTGGTGGAAGAATATGGTGTATAAAGCAAAATGTGTTGAATGAAATAATGCATTTCAGAAATAATAATCTGTTGTAATCAGATTGATGTGTACCTAATTCAAACAATGAATATGTAAAGTTAAATAGAATAATCTAAAAAACTGGATTGTGAACACTTAGAAAAGCCCTGTGTTTTATTCTAAAAAGTAGACTTTGTTTACATTCAGAATTAGTTAAATTAACAATTATGCCAAAGTGATTTGATGCTCATCTGTTAGACTCCTGAAACTCACTTTTAGGCTTCTGAAAGTATATAGACAATAGAAGTATTACTAAGTTTGATTTTTTCAAATTCTACTATATTTCAAATTATTCTAATCATCCTTTATAGATGAGTAGAACATTTTTACTAAAAGATCTGGAGAGCTGGGATGCCTGCGTGGCTCAGCGGTTGAGCGTCTGCCTTTAGCTCTGGGTGTGATCCCAGAGTCCTGGGGTCGAGTCCCACATCAGTCTCTCTGCATGGAGCCTGCTTCTCCTTCTGCCTGTGTCTCTCTCTCTCTGTGTCTCTCATAAATAAATAAAATCTTAAAAAAAAAAAAAGATCTGGAGAGCTAAAAAGAAAAATTTAGAGAGCTAATGCCTTAATTCGAGGTAATTGCTTGACTTACTGCACTTAATGCCATTAACTATATAATATAAAAATAGATGATATTTTCTACATGTGAAATCCTCAAATATAATTTGTTTTGCATTCTTAATAGCACTACAATGAGAGCATGAATAACAAATAATATAAATAATACATACCAAAAAATTGATAGCAGATACTGTGACTTGGCGGTTACCAAATGCTAGAAAGTAGGAAAGAAGATGTCATGCAGACATTCATATTTTGGAAAACCACACTATAAACATAGTTCAGGCAACGTTTATTGGATATTGCTATCCTCTAATCCAGAGTCTGTGGTGTATGTAATTGGCCTTTTGGAATGACACACTTTGCAATCTAAAGGGATGAAAATATTTTTGCTTTCAACAAGTACTTTTTTTCTAATCACCTAATTATATTTAGAATACAAAAGAAATCTACTTTTAATTTGTATCATTAAATTCTTTGAAGGCTGATTTTATCTCTCATTTGTCACTGTAAAAGCACATATCAAAATATTTGATGGCACCCAATAATATGCTTGCTTTTTAATGTTTAACAGCAAAAATAAACATGCTAATAACAATTTTTATATTTTGCATTGATGTTTTATTTTTATAAATATTTTATATTTATATTTTAAGCATTATAATTTGAATGTGTTTTATATTATAAGTGTTTTATATTTTTTATCTAAAAACAAATATATGAGGCAAGTATTAATGTCCTCATCTTGAAATAAAGAAGAATATAGGTTATATAAGTTCCCAAATCATATAGAGTAATGAAGGTGTCCTAAATTCACCTTTCTCATGGTAGAGAAGTGGAATATACCAAAGGACCACAAATAAAAATTTCTGAAAGGCTCATCATCTATATTAATAGTTGCATTTCTTTTTTCTGTTTATGTGTATACATATAAATTATATTTATGTAGTAAACATATTTGCAAGAAAACATAACACCTCATCTTAAATTTTGCATATTTTATAACTATATTTAAAGGTTTTTCTAATATTATTAAAAGCTCATTATAAAGGATGCAGCAGCATCTGCACTATAATGTTTAATGTGGCTAGCTCTAAAAACATTAAATATTATCTAATTACTGCAAAATTAGCGGTACTTTAAGTTTATGTGTAAATAATACTACCTCAAACATCTTTCTTCCTGTCTTTTATGGAAGTTCTATTTCGATTGGCTAGCAATTTAAAAGTATAATTTATTCAAAAGTTATATAAGTATCTATGCATGGATATATATACATACATATATATTTCTGTATATAAAATATGTGGAAGTGTTGGAAGTTTTGTTTTTATAAAGTGCATATATTTAATTATGAAATAAAATACATTAATGGAGAAAATTTGTGAAATAGATAAAAATGTAAAAGAAAATGCATTAAAATCCCATTATCTGTGGTAAATCATTTAAAATTCAGATTTTCCCTTAGAAGGATACATATTTGTTATACACTCTTTATAATATCTGATAAAACAATTTTATCATCACTTATTCCTTAATATTACATTTGCCATATAACTAAGCATACTTTCCTATAATTAAACATTGTTCTCTAGCTAAATCGAAATATTTTTTTATTTGTGTCTACTTCTAGACAAAACTTAGTTCATTCAACAATAGTTGTTAGGACTTTATATGAGAGGCACTATACTGTGTGCTTGTGGTAAATCAATTATAAACTAAGCCCAAAGCAACTCTTATCTTAATGCAAATTATTGTCTGGCAAGGAAACAAATAACAATCACAAAATAACAAATGGAAGTTGCAACTCGGATAAGTGTTACAAAGAAAGATCTATATAGTATTTAATGTAAGAGCTAAAATGAAAGATTTAATCAGGGATATCATAGAGGACTCTCTAAGAACATTGTGGAAGTCTAATTTAGAAAATGAATAGATATTAACACAGACAAGAGAGGGGTGCAAAACATTTCATATAGGAGGGCAGTGAAGATATACTCCATTTTCATTTTTTAAATGAGAATAAATATGATGTGATAAAAACAGGTAAAGGGACAAAGAGTATAATTTTTAAATATTTTTAATATTTATTTCCAAAATGCAAAGTTACAGATAGAAAAAACTTTCTAGAAAAAATTTCAGCCATTATTAAAACTTTTTATAATTTTTTATACTTTTTATAATATTTCACATTTCGCAGAAAAAAAAACCCAAATGGGTTATTTTTCCTTGATTGATGTTGATACCAACATTTAAATATTGAGTTTTCTGAACATATGCATTCCATTTTGCAGTTAATGGAATATTCCTACCATTGGGTAGTTTTCAATTATGATAATGTTTTCCTGTTTACTTTTAAATATTTTCAAGAAGTATTAAAAATTACCTCCTTAATGGTATATGTGGTGGAAATACATAATATGTTGTTTTTTTATTTAAGTCAATGTGTGTAAATGTACAGATGCCATTAATTTTATGCAGCCAGATCTGTTGAGGACTATATATGATATTTATTCACTTTCCAGTTGGAATCAGTATTGTAATGCGATATATGTTTTCACAGAATTTGAGTCCTATTTATAATTTATGCATTTAAGAATCTTGAGTACAGTAAAATTAGAGTTTCAGGGCCTCATTTTCCTAATCTATAATCAGGAATATTAGCATTTATATAATAATGTTTCTCATTACAAAAGAAATAGGAAATTTACAATTATTGACAAACATTAAGTTTTCAATAAATATTTTGCATATGTTAATAACAATCAGCTTCTATTATTTTGTATCAGATTCCTAGAATGTAACATCTTTCAGAGGCTCTTAAACATACTGTGGGGCAAAAATATCTTTCGGTTAATGTTTGAAAATTAGTAGGTACATCTTCTGATAAAATATTTTTTTTAAAAAATGAGAGTTATATGATTTAGAAAATTTTCCTCTTCAATATTCATAGTCAATTGTTAGATTTAGAAGAATTCAAGTTTTGAACATTGGAATGATTTACTTATAGCGTGCTCAACTAGATTTGCTGATTTTACCAAAGATTCTGTTGTTGGTACTTCAAGCAAAGATGTTAAGATGGTTTAACTTATTTTATAAAATCTGAAATAAAGCTTGGAATGCCTGGGTGGCTCAGTGGTTCGGCCTCTGCCTTCAGCTCAGGGTATAGTCCTGGGGTCCTGTGGTCAAGGCCCACATCAGGCTTCCTGCAGGGAGCCTGCTTCTCCCTTTGCCTTATGTCTCTGCCTCTGTGTGTGTGTGTATGTGTGTCTCTCATTGATAAACAAATAAAATCTTAAAAAAAAATAAAAATAAAATAAAGCTTGACTACTCCATTTATTTCCAATTATTTCAAACTTTATAAGCACCAGAAATAGATCACAAAAAATAATTGTCAATTAAATGTGAAACCTCAACCCTTTTAGCACCAGAGCCCTATGCAGGCTCTATCCCAGGACCATGGGATCAAGACGTGAGCCCAAGGCAGATGCTCAACCACTGAGCCACCCAGGTGCCCCTTCTGTGTAGTTTAGAAGATGGCTTAGATGCTGGCAATTTAGGATGTGTTTAACTAGAAAGAAATTCTACATACATGGCGGTGTATACCGTGGATGATTAATATAGTATGCAATCCAAGAAGTAAATCCCCAATAAAAGGCACAGCCCTACAAATAAAGCATAATAAAAGTCAGGGAATATATATAAAATCCATCATATCATTTGAAATCTTCCCATATACTTATGTCACACTGCAGGGTTTTTTTTTTTTTGCATGAAAAATGTTATGTTTTAAGCAAGATAAATGAAATGCTTCCTCACCCAATAAAGTACCATTTTACAAGTACCCATTTGATATCACTAAGGAAAGGCATTACTTTGCTCAACCCTTATTAATATAAATGGGTACTTAGAGTATAAGGAAAATGTAGCAATATATTTTAGAAATATTTTTCAAGAGTGGTTGTCTATTCAGTAATCAATATGAATGAAGTAATAAAATAATAATGTATTACATAAAATATCTTAATATTAATTTTTCAACCTTAAATGAATAAAATAATGAATTATTTAATCATTAGTAAAACATATCTTGATAGATTATAAAGGGGAACGTCCTAGTTTCTAAAGTCCTAGGCTATAATACTAATTTTGCACTGAAATGATAAATTTTAATACCTTCTGCCAGAATAGAAGCTAGTCTAAGTGATTTTTGAGGTTTGGGAGTTTATTCATTACAATGACAACAATATAAAGGCTTGTTGAATTTTTTACAAAACAGATATTTGCCAAAAAAAGGACACTTTTTTAAAAAGGAAATATTTCATATTGAAAGTAAATTTTAAATTGGAAATTAAAAGTAACTGGAATTAGAATTGGAAAATTGAATTGCAGCATGTTATCCAATGTGCATTTCCATTTCAGTATTTCATAAAACTTCCCATTTTCTTGACAGCTATTTGATTAGATGGTTATTAACTCCCTGCATTCACCATTTTTGGAAGAGCAAAGACACTGTCATCACACTGACAACTGTCATAAGTGCAGGGTATAGTTTCATCATTGTAATCACACAGATGTATTTTTACAGGAGGGTTCATATATGACATCCCTCTTCCTCAAGAGGCACTTAAAGAATCTGAATTCAATGCTAAATATTTCCAAAATTAAAGGCGCCTGAACATATGCTGCTCTAACAAAAGGACACGGCAAGTCTTTTATGTAGGATTAATTGGTTCAGAGCTGCTCCAGTGAAATAGGTCACTAAGGACATAGCATTTCAGGAGCGGATGTTTAAGATATACTGACATGGTTGAACAGAAAAATCTAAGCATGAGGGAAATAAACATGATTGTATCATTTTATGGATGACCCAATACACAAAATTTCTCAGTGATAATTAAAATTACAAAACATATCAATCCCCACCTTTATCAAATTTTTCAAAGATGTATGTCCTGCAGAAACTTTATGAACAAATAAGGTTTCCAAAAGATATCGGATATAGTGTATACAATGACAGAAGCAAGCCAAGCTAGAAAGAAAATAAAACATAAACATATTAAGTTCTTCCATAGGTCTGGCTTGCCTTATGCATAAGACATTTTTTTGTTAGTTTACTACATTATAATTTATTAGGAATGTTTCCAATAATCAAAACACTAATGTTTCTTTTAATATTTTTACCCTAGAAATTTTCTAAATTTATTTCACAATAACAGTATGGTCACAACAATCTCTATAAATCTACTTCTGATGATACTCAGAATAGTTTATAATACCAGTCATAATCTATATGCTCACATCTACCCCAGGAATATATAATAATTATAATTTTACTCATATCAAAATGTCTCAAGAATAAAGCAGAAAATGTACAAACTTTCTTTTGTTTTGTTTTTTTCTTAGTATAGCCGATACACAATATTATGTCAATTTCATGTGTACAACGTGGTGATTTAACAAGTTTTACATTATGCTATGCACTCTATAAGTGCACCTGTCATCTATCATCAATGTTATTAAAATATCATTGACTGTATTCTTTATGCTGTGCCTTTTACTCTTTTGATGTATTTATACCATAGCTGGAAACCTGTGTCTCCTAATCCCTTACCCCCACTTTGCCTGACTTCCCCACTCCTCTCCCCTCTGCCATTGGAGACGATGTGGATGGACCTAGAAGGTATTATGCTAAGTGAAATAAGTCAGATTGAGAAAGACAAATACCATATGATTTCACTCATGTGGAATCTAAAAAAAAAAAAAAAAAAAACAGCTGAATAAACACACCAAAAAGCAGAATCAGACCTATAAATACAGAAAACTGATAGTTGCCAGAGGGGAAAATTTAGAAGTTTTAAAAATAACCCAAATCTACTTAGAATTCATCTGACATTTTATAGTATTCAGAATAACGTTTTCATTGTCTGGTTGCCCTTTAGCAAGAACCATACATTTAAAAAGTTTGAATTTCATTTTTCATGGAGTCAATGCAGATTTTGTTTTGTTTAGTTTGTTTTATGCTTGGTTTTTACCCACCAAATGAATTGTAATATTTTTTTGTCTCTTTGCATGTTTGTTTTTGTTTCTGTTTTTCTAATTACCACCTCTTGTTGCTTTTTATAAAACTATTGTTTTAAAAGCAAATGTCAGATGTGATTTATAGGAATATGTTTTCTTGCTTATACATGAAATATATTTCCATTAAAATCTGTACTGATTTTGATAAAAATATAAAATTTCAAAAAATGTGGTTGTTATGCAAGAAAATCAGTATGGATAAAAAATTGCACACTTAAATCAATAGAGTTTGAACTTAAAAATCAGTGCATCATTTACTCTATGTAAAATCAAACATTGAGTCTCTACGGGGAGTTTATTTTAACAGAATGAATTAATGATTTCTGGTTAATAATAACAGTGACTTTAGGGAAAACAAATGATAACCTGTCATTAGGGAATTTATTATTATTCATTAATTCATAAAAATATAACTGTGAACATTTTAGGGGAGAGACATGTTCTATGTGTGTATATCAATACACAATAGGCAAATTCTGTGAGAAATGAGAGGACCAAGTGTGAATATCTCGAGAGAGAGAGCTTTCTAGACCGTAAGACAAGCAAAGGGAAAGGTTCTGATTTAGGAAAAGGTTTAAGCCTTGTAGGCTAAAAGATCAATAAGGGAAAAGAATATCTCTCCTACCTTGTTGGTTCTTTGTAGGAGTATTGACAAAAATATTTGAGTGTAAAATTTTCCACTTTGTAAGAAAGTATAAAGTGAGGTTATACCCAGCTACATAGTAGAACTCTAAATGAAAAATTTTATTTCATACTGTGATTAAATTAGTTAGCTTATTATTCTAATGTTTTATTTTACCAGCATAGCACATACAACTGTACTTACTATTTGGATATATGTCACTCTGCACTTACTTTCCATGTCTGATTCCATTCCACAATATTTCTATTTAATTATGGTTGACTTCTTTTCAAATATCAACTCTTCCTCTGTGCAGTGCTAAACTGATTGAACATCCATAAATAGGTTGGGGCCAATTCTTTTTTCCAATCATAATATTCAAAAATATCACTTATTACATAAGTTTCAGGACGGAGGACTGTGAAAGAAAACACAGTCTTGGGGAACCTGGTTGGTTCAATCAGTTAAGCATTTGCCTTCAATCAGGTCATGGTCTCAGAGTCCTGGGATTGAGCCTCATGGCCTCCCTGCTCAGCACAGAGTCTGCTTCTCCCTCTCCCATTGTCCCTCATCTCTCCAGCTCATATTCTCTCTCTCCCTCTCTCTCTTTCTCTCTCTCTTTCTCTCTCTCTCTCACACAAATAAATAAATAAATAAAATCTTTTAAAAAATAAAAGAAAACAGTCTCAATTTTATAGAGATATGCCGGGTTTCTATTGTGGAAGAATATGAAGACAATATTCAAGTAAAATGTTGAAGATATAAGAGATTTTGCTAATAATGGACTTCAAATTGCAGAAGGCCCATGCAAAAATTCCAGGAATTGGGAAGAACTCAGTGAAAGCAACACGGACTGTGGTGTTAATTGAGCTAGAGTATGAGAGAAGAGGGGTGGCTTGAAAGTATGGGGTTAATGATATGAGGGACCTAAACCAGAATATAAGCATGCAAACCAATGTATCTTCTTGCATTCATGGAAGACAGTCAAACTGTCCATGCTGTGTGTAGGAGAGGTTTCAAACACTGCTTTTTCCACTCCTCATGATGGCAGTCAGAATTTCTTTTTTGTTTATTTTATTTTTTATTTTTTATTTTTTTGGCAGTCAGAATTTCTTATGGAGGTGTGGCATCAACCTCAGTGTTCACTCAGAGTTCACTTGACCCCATGGTGGGAGAGACCTTGACACTTTCAAGTACATATCTTCTAAATTTAACTATTGTTGATTGAATAAATAACATCTGGTTTCACCAAGCTGTGGACCCTCTTTTCACTACTTGATAGGGATGGAAGTACTGTAGGAAATACTGCCTTAGTTCTCCTGTGCGCAGGTTTCTAAGACAGTCAAATAATTTTGTGGTAGTTGAGTCACATATAAATCTGAGCCAAGCAGAAAAAATACTTTTGATCCTGTGAAATGATTCAAAGTCATTTTGGAGAATTAACATTAGATTATGTGGCAACTGGACATGGCATTGGGCACTTGATCTTCTTAACCTTGGGAAATGGTAATCATCCATCCTAAAATTGAGTTGCCTTAGAAGCTGTGTGATTATTTTATACGTCTCTGCTAGACACTTAAATTTCACAAGTAGTTTGTGTGTTTGTGTGTATCTGCTCTGAAATGATTTCATACAGACTTAACATTCTTGCTATTTTGGAACAACGTGGTATAAACTTTTATCATTGAGATGTTATAAAACATGCTTGTGTTTGTATTTAAGAATAGTAACCAGCTGTTAGTCAATTCCCTTAGCATGCCACTAGGGAAAAAAAAGTGCTCTTTTTTCATGCTGTGTTATATATCTAGGATATGTTATATGCTGATCTAAAATATGAATACAATTACACTGCCTTTATGAACCCTCCAACTCCAGCCTTTATAAAAAAATTGATGAGCCCTTTATTCCCTTCCTAGAGAGAAAAAAGATGGCAATGTTCTAATAAGCTCTGAACAACTTGCCCATTATCCTTAAGAGACAATTTCCCCTTGTCTCTCTGTGCTTCTTCCGCCCTACTAGGTTTCTTTTTGCTCCTGCAAACCACCACATTTCTTTGTACCACAAATATTTCCAAATGAAGATTCTTTAAATTTGCTAGCTGAAATCTGATTGATCCCTCCAGCAAACAAAGAAATAGGTCAAATGCCACTTTCTTAGAAAAGCCATGTCAGAACTCCCATCCTGGTTGGGTTCCTCTCTTATACTCTAACAGTGCTGAATGTAAAATAAACACATTTGTAATTGGTTCATCTATCTAATCATTGAAAACATGTTTATTGAGTATTTCCAGTAAATCAGGTAATGTTAAGCAGTGAGGATAAACTGGACATCAAAGTGCATAGAACTTTATAGAGGGAAAGATACGAACAAGTGATGATGTGAACCTGTATTTTTAAAGTAATAAACTGTATAAAGCAAGAACATTTCAGTGGCATATTTGTATTTGAAGGAATAGGAATGGTTACCCTGAATAAGAAATACTGAGATTCTATTTAAAGTTAAAATAAGAGGCAAGAAAGTGGTATTTGGGATGGAGGAAGAAGGAGAGCAGGTTTAAATGCCTTCATGTTAAAGGGAACGTGGTAGGTCTCAGGGAAAAGGAAGGTCAGTGTGGTTGTGGTACAGCAATGAAGGATAAGGAAAGCTCGATGTGAGATGAGAAAGTCAGGAATCAAATCATTCTCTGTCTTCTAGTATCCCTATGACCTAAATTTTGATTCTTAATTCACTTAGAGTTTAGTCATTAAATCACGTTCCCTCTCTTCTTTGTTTTTTAACAAATCTCTAGCACTACATCTCAGTGTAGCATCCTGAGTAATAGTTATTCTCTTTCTCTTTATTTTTTAAAAGACTTTATTTGAAAGACAGAAAGAGAGAGAGAGCGTGAGAGAGAGATATCAAGAAAGAGCACAAGCAAGGGGAGGGGCAGAGGTAGAAGCAGGCTCCAAGCTGAGCAGGGAGCGGGAAGGAGGGCTCAAACTCAGGACCCAGGATAATGCCCTGAGCCTGAAGGCAGACACTGAACTGAGTGAGCCACTCAGGTGCCCCTTTCTTTCTGTTCAATTTGGTAAACTGAGAGAAACAGAGAGAGAGATTATTTTCACAGTATGCTATATATTCTACTTTGATAATTTCCCTCATCCTTTTCTGTACTTTTACTTTCTACTTTAAAGTAAAATTTCTTTTGGACTTCGACTTGCTAAAGGGAATTATAAAACCCTGTTTATTAGGTGTTTCTTTCCTATAAATGATGCCCACATTTTTGGAGAAGTACATATTTTGTTATATTTTATTTAGTATTCTATTTTGAGCCCTATATATGACCTCTAAACTTTATTTTTTAATTTTAAGCTTCTTCTGACATTTCTGAATTTCCAGATTTCTTTTACTGTGATCATTATGAACTTCTATTGTTTCAACTTTAAGATATACTCAATAGTTCCTGGTATCTAAATTTGCAAGTTGGTGTGTATACATTATTTAAAGTTACTTAAAATGTATTTTATTAAATGTAATATATCTTAATTGGGTTTATAAACAAACTTTAAAATAATATCTGTGTACTAGTTTATCTCCTCCTTAATCTATAGGTACTATATGTATTACTTACTGTACCACTGGGTGGCGTAATCTTCTAGAACTCTCTTTCATGTCATATATGTATGGGATCCTCAAATAAAAGAGGAGATAAATCAGCAGAGGTCCTGTATATTCAGCCAAAAATATCTGAAAATAAGAAGCACTTAAATTAAAAAACACATTTTTATAGATATTTTTAAGATTTATACGTAGAAGTAATAAGCACGTCTACAGACTTTACCTACTGCACGAACTGGCAAAATGGACATGTAGCTTTAACTATTCTTTAAAATGCATTATACTGGGTGCTAATATAATTCATAAGAAGTCTTCTTTGGAAGAACTAGCCTAGACCTAAGGAAAAGATCATTGTAAATGGTATATATAAAAATAAATATTGAATTTAATGTAACGATTTCTTCATAAATAGCACATAGGAGTTTTTATTTAACTAACCAAACTGTGATAAACATATTTCTTTTTTATGATTATTTTTTAATAATAAATTTATTTTTATTGGTGTTCAATTTGCCAACATACAGAATAATACCTAGTGCTCATCCCGTCAAGTACCCCCCTCAGTGCCTGTCACCCATTCACCCCCACCCCCCGCCCTCCTCCCCTTCCACCACCCCTAGTTCATTTCCCAGAGCTAGGAGTCTTTATGTTCTGTCTCCCTTTCTGATATTTCCTACCCATTTCTCCTCCCTTCCCTTCTATTCCCTTTCACTATTATTTATATTCCCTAAATGAATGAGACCATGTAATGTTTGTCCTTCTCCGATTGACTCATTTCTTTGTGTCTGCCCAGCCCCATACACACTCCATCTTCTATGTGAACTGTCCCTATCACTGAATGGAATTGGCTGCAGTGACTTTTTTTCTTTTCTTTTCTTTTATTTTCTTTTTTTTTTTTTTTACTTAGCATGAATTTGATTGATTTGACACTGATTCAAGTTGAAATAATTCAGTTCTCTATTCTGCAAACTTTAGACTTTAATTCTGAGTCTGAGTAGGTACTTAAAAGGATTGCCTTCTGAATTTTGGAGCTGAGAGTCAACCATATACATGGAGAGAGATATCTGATCTATAGAGAGATAATCATAAGATTTGGAAATATAATTGGAAAATAGGCTGTTTGATTGTATAAAAATTCACTGGCTGACTGGCTTTCTGATACTTCTCTAAATCTTATGTCTGTCCATTATTTAGTTTTGTGTTGATGCTAAAACCAGGTTAAAGTCACTCTGGAATTCACACGGAGAAAGGAAAAATAATTTACCTCTGAGTGCTCAAAGAGAAAAGATACAGACATGACAATGATAAATTCAACTGCCGTTTCTGCTTTGTTTTGTCATTGCCAATTTTCATCATTTTCTAAGAAGGAAAACTCAACGCTGCACATGTTTTACTCAAATATGCAGGTGTGCACATTGATTAGAAATTATGTTTTTATTTCTCGGGGTCCCTGGTGGCTTCATTGGTTAAGCATCTTCCTTCAGCTCAGGTCATGATCTCAGTATCCTGGGAGCAGCACACTGTCCAGTTCCCTGCTCAATGGGGAGACTGCTTCTCCTTCTCTCTCTCTGTCCTGCTTCCCTGCTCATGCTCTATCTCAAATACATTTTTTAAAAATCTTTTAAAAAAAAAGGAATTATGTAATTATTTCTCGTGAGAACTTTGTATGACTATATAATTAGAATATATGATATATGTGCATGTTTTATATTACTATATATGTGTGTATATATGCACAGCATAAAAATTTACATACGTAGGTTTCTTAGAGTATATTTTTCCCATTTAACACTATTGATCATCCCATTAGCCAAGAAAGATATGCAACATATGATAAAGTCAGTATAAAGCAACCTTTCTAGTGATAAATTATATTAATTGATGGCATACAGCATGCCTGATTATTCAGATGTAAAGAAAAAAATGTTTACCACTTTTGAATGTCTGATAATAGAGTTTAGTTAATACTTGAGAATAATGGGATCCCTGGGTGGCGCGGCGGTTTAGCGCCTGCCTTTGGCCCAGGGCGCGATCCTGGAGACCCGGGATCGAATCCCACGTTGGGCTCCCGGTGCATGGAGCCTGCTTCTCCCTCTGCCTGTGTCTCTGCCTCTCTCTCTCTCTCTGTGTGACTATCATAAATAAAAAAAAATTCAAATATATATATATATATATATAAATACTTGAGAATAATTAGAATAACTTTCTTTACAACACAAAGTTTAAAATATTAATTTTAATGCCATCTGATCTAGGCAAGTAATTTTGAGCAAATCCTCTAGTAATATATCAGTAATGAAAAATGTTATGAACAATAGTTACCCTTGACCACATGTCACTCTTTAAGTTAATAAAAATGCTATCATAAATATGAAGTTTCTTTGAATCAGGAAATTAAACTACAGTCTTATCTCCATCATACACTAAAAATAAATCAGGAGAACATAGTGGCTTACAGTAATATGTTCAAGGAAGCCCAATATTTTATCACAAATATTGTTCATGCTGAAACATGGGGTTTAAACAGTCCCAGGGTATGAAGGCTATATCTTGACCTTAAAGCAGTAGAGAATTATAAGAAATAAATTTTACATAATGCATCTTTCAAAAAAAGAGTCTATTTGGGTACAAATAGAAAAAAAGAAAAAAGATGTTTTATTAAATATAGGAAGTAATCAGAAAATAGTTTTAGAATAAATAAAAATGAGGGTCAGATAGACAAATATTAATAAAACACACTTCTGAGAAATTTTTCTTCTCCTTCTAAAAGAACAAATCCAAAAACAAAGCCAAATAAACAAATAATCTAGTTTTAAGCCCTGGCAAATCAAATGATTTTACAAAGACTAGGAAGTCCATTTTAAACCAAATTTTAGAAGAAATTATATATTCAAAATAAGCCAATATACTTTCTTCTAATTTTGAAGACATACACACTACTTTTAAATTTCAACTTATGTTCAATATGAAATTATTTTCATGCTTTTCCTTTATAGAATTTTCACTGTACTAAACTAATGTGCTGCTATAATTGTAAAAACCACTGATACTAGGTATCCTAGATAATTGCGATTTTTTTTGGAACTTCTGTGGAGTGTTCAACTTGGAATATGTCTAAATCAAAAAAGGAAGAAGACAATAAGATGTTTTAGAAATATAAACTGAAATACACAGCTGCAATTGTGAACTGTTTAGAATCTTTATACTTACATTGTGCTTAATGCAGTTCATCCTCTATTGAAAAAAAGAAAACTTTTTTCAGTCCTATTATTATTAGGATGGTGTTTGACTTTATTTCTTTTTTGAAATTGCAATTAACAGTCGAAAACAAAATAAATTGAATATTCACAGTTGTTGAAAATTACTGACAAAATAAAGTAGTGTCATCCTTAATCTTCTAATGATAGGAAAGCTAAAAATTATGAAAGCATTTCCCAACAGTAATATTACTTTGTACTGAATAAGAAATATTAAAGTCAATATAATACTAAAAAAAGGTTTCGTTTTATAATTTAACCTTTATATGAATAATGCATAATGGAGAATTACATTTAGGTTATTCAAACCATTGTAATGAGATCAACAAGAAAAATTGATCAAAATGTTTTTCAGGGTTCAAAGAGCTACTGAGTCATTGAGAGTTAGAAGATCAGGAGTTTTTAAACAGGACTCTACAACAGTGATCAAACCTAGGATTTGAAGTCTGATAGCAACCTGGGAAGACTTAATCTTTTGAGGGCACCTGAGAATGGAGGGACAAAAATTGTTGGTTATCATCTTTCAAAGACAGAGATATCCTTCTACAATCTCCAGAACTTGGGTTAAGATCTAGGAGAGTTACCCTCTAAGAGCCCTGATAAAGCACAAGTAGATCTGCCTGTATAGGTAATAAAAGTCAGCCTGAAAGCATTTGTCATCAACTGGATTAAGATGATCTGGACCAAATAATGCCATTAGTCCATCTGCAGGATGATAAATCAGTTTGAAAAGAGGGTAACATCATCTTAAGCTTCAAGTTATCCTTACAAGTTGTTTATATATATTTTCCTTCACTAGATCAGAAATATAAAGGTATAAAGGTATAAAGGAGTAAAGACATTGTAATCAAATCTGAAGGAAACAGCAGACATTCAAAACAGATAAACTGAAGAACCACATGTCAGAATTATCAGACACATACATTTAAGAAATAATCTTTTATATATTCAAAGAAATAAAAAAACAAGGTTGAGAATTTCAGCAGATATGTGAAACATCAGACTAGAAAAATATGGAAATGTAATATGGTTCCCAGGAGGAGAATGCAAAGAAAATAATGGAAAACAAAATGTGAAAGAGATTATGATAATTTTTCAAATTAAATATTTATGCTGAACAGTAGACTCAGATAACACTATAAACCAAAAGCAGGATAAATAGAAACATAATTGTAACTGTGTGCATAATAGTCAGACAGTGATAACCAAACAAAAGACAAATTTAATATGAGCCAGAGAAAAGACACATTGTAGTGGACTTTTCAACAGAAACATGGGAGTCAAAAATCAAATAATGAAGTTCTGTGAAGTGAAGACAAATATAACTGCCAATATGGATTTTTTTTCTACAAAAAAATTCTCCAAAAATGGTTATATAAATACATTTTAGGATGAACTGAGTTGAGAAAATCAATCAATGGCAGAACTAGAATAAATCAGTGAAGATATGTTCTCTAAGAAGAATGATAATGATCACAGATATAAGCTCAGGGTTAGAAGGAATAATTAAATTGTAGTGAAAATGATAAATCTAAATAAATATTTGCCATATAAAATAGTAATAGCAGATTTTAACCTAAAAGTACCTATAAAATTAAAATATACCCCAACAGAAGATTTGGAAGAGATTATCATAAAATCATTCAATTATCTATGAAGTATCTTCACCTCAGTAAACCTAAATTAAACAATTTCTATTAGTGTTTTATATTTTAAAGATGGACATTATAATCTCTTGATTAATCAGTAGAGTTGGTAAAAAAGAAGATATAGCTAAAATAACCAAGAGGCTAATAGAAAATAAAATATGAAAAAAAAAGAAAAGAAAATATGGCAATTAATTCCAAATGGAGCAAGGAAAATAAAACAGAACAAAAGGATTGTAGGACACGGGAAACAAATTGAAAGAAAATATTAAGCTTAGGGATAAAATTAGATACTTCTTTACATCAAAAATAGACTATGATTAAAATGTAAAACATAAAAAAAAATAAACTATTAGAAGAAAACATAAGAGAAAACTCCAGATCTAGAGTAAGGAAAAGGTTCTTACATAAGACAGCAAAGACAAAATCCTTAAAACATTGGCAACTGCATTGAAATTGAAAACCTTTTGCAAGAAACAAACAAACCCATCTCATTAAGAGAATGAAAAGACAAAAAAAAAAAAAAAAGACAAGTAAAAACTGAGAGGAAAAATTTGCAAAGAACTTATACAAAAGACTTTATCTAGAGTATAAAAGTTACTCTTAAAACTCAACAGTGTGTACAAAATAGTTAAAAACTATGTTCGTACAAATACCTACACACAGATCGATAACAGCTTTATTTGTAGTAGCAAAATACTGAAAGCAACCCAAATGTCTGTCAGTGGGTGAATGGATAAACTGCTACGATTTACAACCAAATACTACTCACCAATACAAGGAACTGGCTATTGATACATGCAACAACCAGAATGAATCCTAAAGGCACTGCACTTAGAAAATTAAACATCAATCTCAAAAAACTAAACAAAACAAAAAACAAAAAAACCTGTCAAATTCTATTTACAGCATTTGCCACTTAACAAAATATAGAAATGAAGAACAGATTGGTGGTTGCCCCAGAATAGAAAAAAGAGTGTGTAAAAATAGAAGGATAATATGAGACAGTTCCTTTGTGGGAATGGAACATTCTATATCTGATTGTAGTGGTATATACTTGAATTTACAAGGGATAAATTGCATAAAACTATAGGTATACACAGGAGTGAACATAAAAATGGTGAAAAGTGAATTGGATCTTTAGTTAATAGGATCTAAATAACTAAACCTCTATTCTATTCAAGGAGGCAAAGATTTTCTCAATATTCTTTGACAGCACAATCTTATTTGATGAAAAGTATTATTAAAATCTTAATTTAGACCTTGCTAAAGTGTTTGTCTCTAAAAAAATAAAAAAAAACAAAAATAAAAAACCCCAACCTTGTGATATGCTTTTATTATCAAGCACATTTTAGCACATTTAGAAGCACATTTTAATATTTTATAAATGTACAAGAATGTGTGGTAAATATTGCTTTTATTGTATAATTTAGTAGATATAAAGTGGGTGCCATTGCAATGTAATGTGTGTATTTTTAGGAGTTAATAGGACTGACTCATTTAGAGCAAAAGATTGTGTGAAACATAGGGTTGCCTTAAAAATATTCATCCTATTTCCAGAGTTCTCTTTGTCACCTAAATGACTTTCCTTCCAAATAAGCTATAATTTTCTCTACAATTGTCCTAGAATTCCACCTTAGCACTCTCTCTGCTCAGTGCTTATCCAAGTGATGCAGCTGGAATTTCTAATGAATTCACCATTAATGCCACTCATCCTGACAAAACTTCTGTAGACAGAATTCCCGTTTCATCATAAATGTGGACAAAGCCTGTGAATATTTTAACCTTTGAAAATCAGAATCTGCTTGTCTAAAATCTTTGGTAGTAAAGGTCTGTTGATATCATATATATTTAGACTTTTCCTTACATAATGCATGCATTAATAGGTTGTTTCATAAATATTATATTTCACAAGGATTCAGAATATTCTGAACTCAGTTTTTTTGTGTAACAAATCAGTACTCAAAATCTCAACCAAGGAACTTTGAAACCCAAAGCAATTATTTAACCAATAACACTAAAATATAAATAATAATCTAAATACAAGAAGGTAATGTATATTAAAGAAGAAATCATCAGAAAATTAAAAGACTTGACAATATTTTAATAAATGCAAACTTTAATTGGTGTTATTTGAAAATTACATAATAATCAATAAATTGTCCTGTGTTTGCAATGATTTTAAAAATTGAATGCTTACAGGGAAAACTTAAAACACTGTGGATGATAATGGTCATTGTTAATGATGACAAAAAGGAAAACTATCTTAACATAGAAAACATTAAAAGTGCAATCACATCACAGAAATGAACTAGAATGTTATCAGAAAAACTTTAAAATTCTAGAAAATATAAATAAAATAATTGAACAATAGAACGATTGCACTATTCTTTGTATATCAGTGTCAAAATTATTTATCAAATTAACACTTTCACTGCCTGTCACTAAATATCACCTAGTTTTCCCTCTTACTACTAAAGCTAAACCATGTATCTATTCCATTACTTATAGTTTATAATAGTTTAATGCTTGTGAACTAGTGTCCTTGTTAGTCCTTGTTAGTCTTGTTAGTCCTCCACGTCTTTTAATGTAGTCTTCCTACTTCTAATGCCATTGGATTCAGTTGCCATCACTTTGAAAGCTTCTTCTTCAAGAACCAAAAGTATGCCACAACCACCTAATGCAAAGAAGTCTCAGTACTTCATTCTGATTTTCCAAAATCCTCTCCCTTTGCCTTAGAATATTTTTATTAAATATTCTATCTCCTTTTTTTTTTCCAATTTCAAGAGTCTTCATATTCCCAGGTTCCTAGAAGGAAAAGCTGAAGAAATACCATTTAACTAACAAAGCATAGGTTAAGCAGAAATAAGATTTTTAGATTGACATTTTAAAAAAAAGGATTTATCCTCATTCTTCCATTTGTATATTTCCATTGCTCTAATACTTGTGTGAAGTTTTGGCCACTGTTCTTCCTAGCAAGAATGGAAATTTTAAAATGCCATTCAGTATATTTCGTTTCATTATAAATTTACTTGATAAAAATTGTCCTGTCAACAAACTATTCCTATAAAAATGTGGGACATGTATATTGCACTTCAAATTGATACTTACTGTAATCCAACGGACTTGTCGACCTAGGTCTGTAAAATAGAGAGTGACAATGGAGGAAGCTGCAATGCTTTGAACGGTTATGTAGTCCTTCAAAAAAGGCCCACCTAAATAATAAGGAAAAGTATTTGAATACAATTTCAAGACATTGTGAATTTTTTTAAAGATTGATTGATTGATTTAAGACATATATATAGAGAGAGAGGCAGAGACATAGGCAGAGGGAGAAGCAGGCTTCATTCATGCAGGAAGCCCAATGTGGGACTCATTCCTGGAACCTCGGGTTCACGCCCTGGGCCAAAGGCAGACACTTAACTGCTGAGCCACCCAGGCATCCCAAGACAGAGTGATTTTTAACAAACAATTTTTAATGTGAAAAATTCTGAATGCTAAGGATAAATACATAGAATTTGCAATGTATAATAAATATTTAAAGTGAAATGAAATGTTAACAAACCCATTTTATAAAATATCTAGCAATTTTTCAAATGTACAGTGATTTCCGACCTCTACCTAAACAAAGTGCAGACTACCACTAGTTACTATCCTGTAGTGTTCTAATAAAATGTAATATCAGGTAATATCATACTCAAATATGATACAAGGTATTTTTAAAGTATAATTTGGGGTATTAGTAGACATTGATGTGAACCCTTCCTAAATTCTTTTATTATATGATAAATTATTTAGGGTGAATAAATTTGCAAGCACCCACAGAGTGACATGATCTACATTTAAAAAGATCTTTATGAAAAATAAATAAATAAAAAGGTATTTATGATACTGTGTGGAAACTGGGAGGAAGGGAAGCAAGATTACTTAGGAAGAACTCAAAATTAATCAAGCAAGGGATTATTTAGATTGAGGTGGCACTGGTAAAAATGTTAAAAATTCATCAGTTCCAAATATTTATTTTATTTTATTTATCTGAGACACAGAGAGAGATATGAGTGGGGGGAAAAGGGCAGAGGAAGAGAAAGAATGAGAAAGAGACTCCTTGCTGAGCAGGGAGCCCAACATCAGCCTGGATCCCAGGATGCTGGGATCATGACCTAAGCCGAAGGCAGACACTTAACCGATTGAGCCACCCAGATGCCCGTCAAATATATTTTGAACATAGAGTTGGTTCAACTTGAGAAGAGAATATTACAGTGAAATAAAGACAGCTTCTAGATTTTTGGCCTGGGCACTTGCGTGCATTCTAATTCATTAACTGGAAGAGAAGACTGGGAAAGAAGCAGGATTTGGGGGTGGAAATTAAGATTTAAGTTTTTTGATATTTATTAGACATTGAAGTAGAAGCTGTCAAATAGGCAGTAGGGTAGCTGTGTCTGTAGATATCTGAAAGTCATTAATACTTAAAGCCATGCTGCTTGATGAGGTTATTTATACATTTTCTGAATGGAGAATAGGATTTGACAGTTTGAGAAACTTAAGGCTTAATATTGGATTTTATATTCTCCCTAAAATACATTCATTTCTGCTCCTATTTAGCTCATTTATTCTGCTTTAAACTGAAAAGAAAAAAAAAAAGAAAAAGCAAGCAAGCAGGATCAAGGAAGGAAGGAAGAAGAAAGAAAGAAAAAGGAAAAGAAATTGCTGAGAAGTATCCCTGAGAACATATTAGAAGGTAGTGGAACGCCAGAATAAAGCAATAAACCTTTTAGAAACAGAAAAATGTTAGTTCAGATCCTGCCTCCAATGCACATGACGGTGGATGTGTGAAACTTAACTCCTTGAGACTAAAATTCCTCATGATTAAAAGTGAAGAACTAGCTTATAGGGAGAATCAATTGACATAATTGATTTAGAACACTTATTGCAATGCCTGTTATTTAGTAAGTGATAAATAAATAAAGTGATGACAGAAAAGGGATTCCAAATTATATAAATAGATCAGTGAAATTTGATTCTTACCTTGTTCTAGTTGCAGGCCAACTCGGGAAGGATACCAGTTTGGACCTATTCCATGAAAAATAATAGCATTTAAATGACAACACAAGTATAATACACCTTTTAAAGTTTACTAGTTTCTTTGAGTAGCTGTCTGGTACTGCAGTTGACAGGGTAATTCTAATTTAAAACTTTTGAGGTGCCTCCATACTATTTTCCAGAGTGGCTGCAGCAGTTTGCACTCCCAACAGTGCAAGAGGGTTCCCCCTTTCTCCACATCCTCTCCAACATCTGTTGTTTCTTGTCTTGTTAATTTTAGCCATTCTGACTGGTGCAGGGTGATATCATTATAGTTTTGATTTGTATTTCCTTGATGGTGAGTGATGTTGAGTATCTTTTTATGTTAGTGGGACATCTGGATGTCTTCTTTGGAAAAAAGATCTTTCATGTCTTCTGCCTATTTCTTAAATGAATTTTTAACTTTTGGGGTGTTAGTGGTATAAGTTCTTTATATCTTTTGGATACTAACCCTTTATCAGAAATTATCATTTGCAAATATCTTCTTCCATTCTAAAGCCTGCCTTTTAGTTTCCCTTGCTGTGAAGAAGCTTCCTATCTTGATGTAGTCCCAATAGTTCATTTTTGTTTTTATTTCCTTTGCCTCAGGAGGGATATCTAGTAAGAAGCTACTATAGCTAATGTCAAGGAGGTTACTGCCTGTGTTCTCTTCTAAGATTTTTAAGGTTTCAGATCTCACATTTAGGTCTTTAACCATATGATCCAGCAATTGCACTACTAGATATTTACCCAGATAATACAAAATACTAATTCAAAGGTATATATGCACCCCAATGTTTATAGCAGCATTATCTACAACAGCTAAATTATGGAGACAGCTCAAGTGTCCATTAACTGATGAATAAATAAAGAAGTAGTATATAAGTATAATGGAATATTATTCAGCCATAAAAAAGAATGAAACATTGCCATTTGCAATGGTGTGGATGGAGGCAGAGAGTATCACACTGAGTGAAATAATTAATCAGAGAAAGACAAATACCGTATCATTCCACTCCTGTGTGGAGTTTAAGAAACAAAACAAATCACCATAGGGGAAAAACAGAGAAAGGTAAACCAAGAAACTGACTCTTAACTACAGAGAACAAACTGATGGTTATCACAGGGGTGGTGGATGGATGGATGGGTTAAATTGGTGATGGGGATTAAGGAATGCACTTGTCTTGAGCACCAGGTGTTGTATATAAACACTGAATCACTCACTTGTACACCGGAAACTAATATTGCAATGTATGTTAACTAAATGGAATTTACATAAAATTTAAAATAAATGAATAATCCAATTAAAAATAGGCAGAATATATTAATAGATACCCACCTCCCCTCCCATAAGAAAACTAATACTTTCTATTGGAAGACAAATTCAATCATAGGAAGTTCATAAAAAAAAGGAAGTTCATAAAGTAGTTATCTAGTGTCATAAATGGAGATAGTGGTTACTCTTGGCAGTGTGCTGATGAGCAGTGATGGATAGTTATGATGAGAGCTTTAGGGGTGGCAATTTTCTGTTTTTCAGTCTGAGAACTGGCTACATTGATGTGTTCAATCTGTAGACAAGTGCCAAGGTATATGATATAGGACTTGGACTTGTGCACTTTCTGTAAGTTATTCTTCAATACAATGCTTAAACACCTTCATTAAAAACTGAAGAACTTTGATCTCTTTTTTTAAATATTAGCAATGAAAGTAGGTTATTTTCTTTACCCCAAGTAAAGCACAGTATTAGAATAATATGAGTTACTGACTTTTAATAATTATGAGCATATTGATCATAACATACTACCACTTTAGTATCTCCTTATGTTACCATTAGTAATAAATACATAGTTTACTAAAGAATTCTACCTGGGTGAGGAAATCAAAATACATTCATTATACACAGCCATAAAAATAATCGGCTCAAAATTACCAGAATATAATTATTTTCTCTTAAAATGAAATCTATGTTATTATTTTAAAGTTTCTACTGAAAATTTAATTCTTAACCTTGATATCCAACACTAAGCCGATTAACTTGATTTATAATAAATTAAAAGAAGAGCATTGTCAAAGGAACATTCTACATTGCTCTTATGTTTTCAAAACATTACTTTTTAAAGCATTAATAAGAATGATGATAATATGGTATAACTAGAGTACTGTAATAAATTCTCCCTAAATTTATTGCAAAAAGATAACTTATACATGAACATTATCACAGATAAATAGCTCATAAGTCAAAAACTATAATCATAAGTTTAAAACTATTTAGGATTATATTTAAACAAAATTCAGTAATAACATGACAAATGTGCAGGCACAAAATTAACTTTGACATTTGATTTTTTAAAATTATAAAATATGCTGGTAAAGACACTTTTTTGTTTTGTATTTGTATTTACTAATAAAATTATTATTATTTATATAGCCATTCGTGGTTCTGGAATGCATATTAACAATAATTGCTGAAATATATTTTAAAATAATTACTTTTATTACTCATAGTGAAAATCCACTGCCAAAGAGGAATATTATGCAAATGCATACAATAGAGGCTTCTATATGTTTTTAATTTCTTTTAAAACCTTCATTTATTTATTTGAGAGAGAGTCAGAGATAGAGACAATGAATAAGAATAGGGAGGAGAGGGAGAAGCGGACGCCTCCCCCTCACCTCCAGCAGGGAGACCAAAGTGGGGCTGATCTCAGGACCCTGGGATCATGATCTGAAGTGAAGGCAAATGCTTAACCAACTGAGCCCCCCTTGGAGACACTTACCAGACTAAGCCACCCAGGCATTTCAAATATGGGTATTGGAGAAAACACAAACATAATGAGAATCTATTCATATTGAATAGATAGTCATTGAGCACCTATGATGGGAGTACATAAAAGCTGCCAATTTCTGTCCATTTTAATAATATCCACATGAGATGCTGTTTGCAAAAGCACTTTTTGAGGCCTCCTATGAGGGAAGTGAAAAACTATCATTTTAAGCCCATAGAGCTGTCCATAAACTAGTGATTGAATACTGACTGAATCTACAATGATACATCAGAGAAATTAGAAGCTCTTACTTTTTGGGCAATCTATGTCCTTCCAATTCTCTCAACATGGATAAACTATGAATCTACTTATGAAATAAACTTGACATTTATAAGTTGTGACCCTTTAACACTGTGTCTTAGTGAAAAAACAGTTATTAAGTTCCTATAAAGCCTTAAAATTAGTTTCAGTCACCTTCTCAAAGAGCAAAGAATAGATTTGCTGAAATGTTCTGTGCTTGTTGTGGGGAGTTAGAATACGTTCAAAAAACGGCAGAAAAAGATAAAGAATATATGCTTTATAAGACTTTGTTAAGAGATGGAAAAATATTCCATGCTCATGGATTGGCAGAATTAATATTGTAAAAATGTCAATGCTACCCAGGGCAATTTACACGTTCAATGCAATCCCTATCAAAATACCATGGACTTTTTTCAGAGACTTAGAACAAATTATTTTAAGATTTGTGTGGAATCAGAAAAGACCCCGAATAGCCAGGGGAATTTTAAAAAAGAAAACCATAGCTGGGGGCATCACAATGCCAGATTTCAGGTTGTACTACAAAGCTGTGGTCATCAAGACAGTGTGGTACTGGCACAAAAACAGACACATAGACCAATGGAACAGAATAGAGAATCCAGAAATGGACCCTGAACTTTATGGTCAACTAATATTCGACAAAGGAGGAAAGACGATCCACTGGAAGAAAGACAGTCTCTTCAATAAATGGTGCTGGGAAAATTGGTCATCCACATGCAGAAGAATGAAACTAGACCACTCTCTTGCACCATACACAAAGATAAACTCAAAATGGATGAAAGATTTAAATGTGAGACAAGACTCCATCAAAATCCTAGAGGAAAACACAGGCAACACCCTTTTTGAACTTGGCCACAGTAACTTCTTGCAAGATACATCCACGAAAACAAAAGAAACAAAAGCAAAAATGAACTATTGGGACTTCATCAAGATAAGAAGCTTTTGCACAGCAAAGGATACAGTCAACAAAACTCAAAGACAACCTACAGAATGGGAGAAGATATTTGCAAATAACATATCAGATAAAGGGCTAGTTTCCAAAATCTATAAAGAACTTCTTAAACTCAACACCAAAGAAACAAACAATCCAATCATGAAATGGGCAAAAGACATGAAGAGAAATCTCACAGAGGAAGACATAGACATGGCCAACATGCACATGAGAAAATGCTCTGCATCACTTGCCATCAGGGAAATACAAATCAAAACCACAATGAGATACCACCTCACACCAGTGAGAATGGGGAAAATTAATAAGGCAGGAAACAACAAATGTTGGAGAGGATGCGGAGAAAAGGGAACCCTCTTACACTGTTGGTGGGAATGTGAACTGGTGCAGCCACTCTGGAAAACTGTGTGGAGGTTCCTCAAAGAATTAAAAATAGACCTGCCCTACGACCCAGCAATTGCACTGTTAGGGATTTACCCCGAAGATTCAGATGCAATGAAACGCCGGGGCACCTGCACCCCGATGTTTCTAGCAGCCATGTCCACAATAGCCAAACTGTGGAAGGAGCCTCGGTGCCCATCGAAAGATGAATGGATAAAGAAGATGTGGTTTATGTATACAATGGAATATTACTCAGCCATTAGAAACAACAAATACCCACCATTTGCTTCAACGTGGATGGAACTGGAGGGTATTATGCTGAGTGAAGTAAGTCAATCGGAGAAGGACAAACAGTGTATGTTCTCACTCATTTGGGGAATATGAATAATAGTGAAGGGGAATATAAGGGAAGGGAGAAGAAATGTGTGGGAGATATCAGAAAGGGACACAGAACATAAAGACTTCTAACTCTGGGAAATGAACTAGGGGTGGTGGAAGGGGAGGAGGGCGGGGGGTGGGGGTGAATGGGTGACGGGCACGGAGGGGGACACTTGACGGGATGAGCACTGGGTGTTATTCTGTATGTTGGTAAATTGAAC